AGAGAATTGTATAGATGGTAAACTAAAACGAGTGCCAATGATAATGTCATCATCTTCGATGACAAAGTCATTAAGGTCCTTAGTCGCAGCGTTAGCTTCACTGTCCAATATCGAGGCATAGGAATGGTTTTGGGTAGATGGACTGTCTATGCTCATCTCTTGCAATTGTAAACCAGCCTCCGGATGGAGAAGAGAGGGGACAGAAGTCTCGGTTACCACAGGGCCTTCCGGTTCTTCGCTAATAGGATCAACAATGGCCATCTCCAGATCTTGAACGTCAGCATCATCTGGAGGCTTGAGGCGAACTTTTTTGGTGGTGTCGTAATCCGCCAGAGTAACACGGGGGAGTTTGTCGCTATTCATTTTTTAATAAATTTTATTTTAATATTCAAATGTATATAAAATTTTAATTCAATTTTTATGCAATGGGTTAATTATTTTTTATTATATTCATATCCTATCTGATATTGATATTTCTTAAGACTACATGATTACTTGCGCATGAAATAGGTGTATTTATTTATTTATTTATTTATTATTAAAATAAAAAAAATGATTCGCCCGTAGTCTAAGGATTTTAAGGATCAATTGATATATCATAAAAATGATTTAATCTTATATTTTAATATCCAAATTGCATATTGATAGATCAATTTAAATTAATTATTGTATAAATGTATTACGAGAATTCTTGAATGATACGTTAGATAGCATGTACAATATTATCATTTTTAAATCCATAACCTTTTTGTTTTATATAAGTTTAATGTCTTTCACTTTTTTAAAGTGTAATATTTTGTCTAACTCAGTATGATGGCATCCTCGTCGTATGTTAGTGTCACGGTTGCCCATGTTGTCTACCTCATTCATTAATACGCTCAATGTTAAATCAAACAATCAAATAGTCATTATAATACCACTTATCACTTGATAGTTATTACATTTATGAAAGATGTCTAATCAAGTACAGAAGTAAGATTTTATATTAGAGGTAAATTATAAAATTTTAAGGTAGAATAAACTTATAAAATTTAGGATGGCCAAAATAGATTATCAATATCAAATATAAAAAGAAAAAAATTGAAATATATAGAAATTTAATTTTTTTTAGGAAGATGATCGCTCCAATCCCATTTGATCCATCCATGTGTCTAATAAAGTGTGCAACATCATCCCTTTTGGATTTCAAGATTTTCATTTTATTTTCCGACGTGAGATTAATCCCCATCATCTCTTGATGGCAATTATTCTAACACAATTTTTTCATTTACCTTCAAAATTTAAATCACGCATTGATTAATTAGTAATTAATTAAGATACGTTGGCCTAAAATATTTAAAGCAATTAATTAGTTATTAATTGAGAAATAAGTATTATAATTGGACCCAATCTGCAAAATACATATATATTTTATGATGTAATTTTTTAAGACTTATTAATTTTAAAATTGAATAATTTACCCATAATTCCATCCGATTTCGTCGTTGCCTAAGGCCTCCACTTACCCACACAAACAAAACATCGTTAGTAATTTTTTTATTAAAAGTCGATTTATGTTTTATTTTTATTCTAAATCAATTTATAGAAAATAATTAATTGTCTATTATGCCAAAAAGTAAATGAGTTTTCTTTTTTTTTTAAAAGGTTTTGTGGAGGTTTAGAAGGGCAAGTAGGGGAATGGCGTGAAGGTGGCGAAGGAAATTGCGTGCAAGCTCAAGCAAGTGCAAAATACAAACACAACCCGACATTATAGTTTGGAATGAATAAAGAAATAAAATTCTATATCGTTATATTGAAAAACAAAATTGCAATACAATTTAGGATAAACTACGCGTTTAGTATCTAAACTATCAGTTTTTTTTCATTTTAGTACTTAAACTTTTAATTTTTTTAAAATCGTACCTATAGTTTAGTTTTTGTTTCATTTTAGTATTCCGTCATTAAAAACTTAATGCGTTTAGTACATAAACTATTAGTCTTAGTCCGCTTTAGTACCTAAACTTTAATTTTTTTTTTAAACTTAATGTTAGTTATTTAACGAAATATTAAAATGAAATAAAAACTAAATGTTATGTATAGTTTTAAAAAAATTAATATTTAAGTACTAAAACATACCATAACTGATAATTTAGATACTAATTACGCATTTACCATTTGATGAAAAATTTAAAAAACAGAATAAAAATATATAATCGATACAAGAATTTCGGATCGTGTCTGTCACTTATATATATACACGTCGAGTTTTCTAAGGTTAATGTACTTTTGCATAACTTTTGTAATATTATCTCCGATCATTGTGAATTTTCTTTTGTTTTGCTCGTGATATTTTTGCCAAAAATTTTCACGTAAATTTATGTGATATTTTCTTTCTCCTTTAATTTACTATCGACAGTTTGACATTATCTTTCATAATTCGTAATAATTAATACAATGCATAAATAAAATTATAATTACTCTCTCAACAAATATTAATATTATTATAATTAATATATTCATATAATTATATGCGTAATCAATTATTACTATACATGAAATAATATATGATAACAGAAATATACAATGGCGGATGCACTCTTATGTTAAAATAGGTACGTGTTTATACTAAAATTTGAATTTTCTTCAATTGCTGATTAATTTTATTAATTGTGTTTGCCCTAAAAAACTTTTATGTGACTAATATATATGTGTCTACCCTGAAAATAATTTTAGATTCACCACTAGAAATATATATATATATATATGTATAATTAATTAAATCAGAATAATTATATTAATGCTCAAATATGAATACTTAAAAGATATGATATTTCATCTTAATTTGCTTACCTTATAAAATTTAATTTATTGTTTTTAAATTATTTTTATATAATTTACATTTTACTAAATTAATAATTATTTTCAATAATAGCATGAACCAATTTGCCTCAGTGATTAAAGGAATCGTTATTGTTCCTAAAAGTCACTCCGTAATTGTTATGGAGAATTAATATTTAGTATCAATTGTATATAACAAGTTCTCAGTTTGAAAACATTTTTATAATATTATACATGTTATATATAGTTTCATACAATTATTATATGATTTAAGTTGTAAAAATAAAAAAAAATTAGTTATCCATAAATAGATAAATAATTCAAAATTAATATTACGTTTTAAAGAAAAATAATAAAATATACTTTATTACTTCAAGTGCAAAATGGAGATCCAGATCTTCTAAGTGCCAAGTCTAGTCTCTTGCGATAAAAAAAATTTAAAAGTAGAAAACTAAGAGTGAGCTTTAGAGCTCAATATGATCTTAAAGTGATGCATATACCTTTCGAGCACCAACGACCGCTAAAATGATTGAGCGTTCATTGTTAAATGATTGAGAGTACTTAAAATAGACACTACTTTATAATCAACTTAGCTTAATTAAAAAAAATATATGCAGATATATATAATTGTATAGAATAATAATGGCTCACTCAAATAGATGTGTGTCCAACGTAGTCATTTTCAATTTCTTTTAATATGGAAATTTCCTTCTTATCGGCATTCTCTAGTTTCTTGGGCTGTCCTTTTTTGAACTTTGAAATCTATATCAATTATTCCTTTCGAAATACAGTTGAATTTGAATCTATAAAATTATATTTATAGTCCTTGAATTATATTAAAATGTATTTTTTTCAGTCGACTTTTAAATGTTATAAAATATTCTTTAAATTTATCAAACTACTATAAAAATTCATTGATTGATTAATTCGGATATCATATTACAAAGGCTAATTCATGAGATAATTTTCTCAATTCAAATTGCTTTAACTATTAATTAGTAATTTCTCTCTTTCAAATAAATATGATTTTTAAGTATTATTTTTTTTAAATATAGTAATTAATTCATAAGAAATAAGTAATAAATTGCTCAATATTTTTTTAAAATTATTCATAATTCTACTAAATTCTTAACTACTTAAATTTAAAAATATCTCACAATTTAATGTATCGGAATCTTTAACTTTTAGATTACTGTAATATTATCGATGATAACGGAATTAATACTTATGGGTTCCGAAATATATTTCTTGAGTAATATCTTAATTTTTCCAACGAATTAAAAACCAAATTGTAACTATTTTTGCCTGATTATGAACCCCCTACCCAACAGTAAAAGGGTTTAATAAGAGAATTTTTTTATAGCTAATTAGGTGAAAATGGTGCTAAATTTAATGTGTATAGCGAGAGGTAATCCTACACAGTTAATTTAACGTACCAAGCAGCTATATTTAGGTGCACGGGCCTAATAGATAAGTTCAATTTATTTGACTTGGGGAAATTTTCTTTTTAAGCATTTTTAGTTTTTTATACATAGAATTAAAAGAAAATATTATTTATAAGAATTTAAATTATTTATTTTTTAAATTAACGAGATAGATAAAAAAGAAAATATAATAAAATCACAATCACAGAAATTTTAAATTCCTTTAACTAACTAGATTAATTAATTTAAATTTTATAAGTTACGAATAATAAAACTATCGACATTGATGGATATATGTCATCAACGTAATATAAAAATAATATAACGATGATAACACATTGATAATTAGGGCGGGACATTTAATAGTAAATAATCATTAAAATTTATCATACTTTTACAAAATAATCATTAAAATTTATCATACTTTTACACCTATTATAACATTGCAGTGATTATTTTATAGCAATTAGACAAAATTAATGACCATTTTATAGCTTTTAAAAATTTGGTGATTAAAAAGATCTTCTCAATATAATTTAATGACTTGTGGTGTACTTTACGCAAATAGATTTTGAAGTTCTTGTAATGAAAACTATGTCGTATTCTAGAAAAACAAGGAGCCACTGCGTTAAAACCCCTTATTTATTCTCACAAAAACAATCTGGGATTGGTCAACCAGTTTGATCTCTCAATAGAAGCCTCTAGTCCTTCAAAATTCAACCCAGCACACCCCCTTAAAAGCTAAGCCCCCCACTTTAGCCATCAATTTCCTTTCCCCAAAACATTTTCCCTCCTAATTTTCTCTCCCCACAAACAACCCTTTCTTTCTTTATTAATATCTTTTACAAAAAATGGGTACTTTAGTGGGGCATGTTGCACCGGGTTTTGCCTTCTTTGCACTTGGTTTGTGGCACCTCTTCAATCACATCAAGCTCCATGCCATAAACCCAAACTTCTACACATCTTTCCCATGGTTCCCCACGTCAAAATTTAGGCACTTGGAGCTTGTTTTGATCATGCTTTGCTCATCAATCTCCATCTCCATGGAACTCTTCATCGGTCCAGCGAAACACCATCCGTTCGATACGGACGGAACGATCCCGTCGAACCACCTCCACAATTTCGAGCACTCTGCTATATCGATGACCTTCTTCGTCTACGCCGCGTTCGCTATCATCCTCGACACGACCAACAACATACACTCCATTGCTAAGTATAGCCTAACGCAGCTCCTCGGAGGGGTCGCCTTTGCTCAGCAGCTGTTCTTGTTCCACCTCCACTCGGCTGACCACATGGGAGTTGAGGGCCAATACCATTTGCTTCTACAAAGTGCAATTGTTGTGTGTTTAGCCACTACCCTAATGGGAATAGGGTACCCTAAGAGCTTCCTAGTGAGCTTTACTAGGTCATTAAGCATCTTGTACCAAGGCATATGGCTTATGGTCATGGGGTACATGCTTTGGACACCTGGGTTGATTCCGAAAGGCTGTTTTATCCACTTCGAAGAGGGTCACCAAGTGGTCCGATGCTCGACAGACACGGCTCTTCATCGAGCTAAATCGTTGGTGAATATCGGATTCAGCTGGACCTTGATCGGCGTCACCATTTTTGCTGTGAGTTTCTATCTGGTTTTGGTCAAGTTCTATGGGGGGAAAGTTGAGTATTCCACGTTGGCACACCATGAAGATGAGAAATTTGAGGTTGGTGGTGATGGTGATGAATCGGATGACGTGGAATTACAGAAGGGTCAAAGAAAATTACATGACGAGTCTAAAAGCTTCATCCATCTGGGAAAAGGGTTTGCAGGTCTGGACATAGAGAGATAGGTTTACATGTGTCAAGTTGGTGAATTTGTGTACAAAGTTTTAGGTTTTTTTAGGGTTTGGTCTAAATTAAGCTTTGCAATAATTTGGGGGCTTAATGACACAACAAGAAAAATGTCTTGTTTGGTTTGAAATATTGTTTGGTTTGAATCCATGGGGTTTGGGGTTAGATGGTGATTTCATTGTGATTTGTATGTATACAAGTTGTTTAAAAATTATTTAAATATATTTTTGAAATAGATAAATATTCGGTATGTAAATTATATATTATGAATGAATAAGAAGATGATTTGAATTTGAATCCTCTAAAAAGTAGAATTTGAATTTAAATTCTCATATTTTAAAAGGAAATGGTCAACATAATATTACAATAATAATAGTAATATTTGATAATTTTAATCATGAATAATTTGATAAATTTAATAATAAAATAATTCAATGACAAAGTACTTTATTTTTTTAGCTTGAAGCTCAAAATAATTATGAACATTGAAAGCATGAAGATAACTCAACGGACATGGTTAAATAATTTGATATTATTTAAAATGCTAAACTAATATATACATGACGACGCTTAAATTCAAAACTTCAAATTTTTTAACAGTATTAATTAGAAAGACCATGTTGACAAATATAAATATAAATAGTGTCAGAGTAAAAAATATATATAATTAAATTGTAGTGGTAAAATTTTAGCAATAATGTCAATTTTTTTTCTTTATCTAATTTTGAAAAATATATTAGAATGAAAATGGACATGACTCCGTCATTAAATATAAATAACGTGAAAATTAATTTTTATTAATAATTAGCAACTTGATGATATTATGTCGATTGACGATGATGATCATGACTATGGGAAGACATGATCAAGGATAAGAATAATAACATTAATTGATTAATCAAGGATGACACTAGATAATGCATATTAAATGTAGGCCTCGTGGCATACGATAATGAGGGCATTATATGATTGTGTGTTAGAAAGTATAAAGGTGTCCATAAATTTCTTTTATTCAACGTACACATGATTTAATCGAACTGGTTTAACATCAGTTGCTTGATAAGTTCAGTTAATTAAGTTAGTTGAATCAAATCAAGTCAGATTTGATTCTAAAGATAAATTATGTTAATATTATTTTTCGCCCACAGTTTTCATATTTATTACTCAATTCAACAATATCAAACATCAAAGTAAATTTTAATATATTTTTATTCCCGGAGACCTTTAAAATGGCTAGGAATAATTGTAGCTTTGCTCTGCTTGCTTGCAGATTAACAAAGAGATGGTTTGGTCAGGCAAATGGCTACCCAACTACGGAGTGCTCCACTTTAAAACATGGAATTTCTGGTGCCTTCTAAGTCACTGAGATAGTCTAAATCTATAATGATTTTACTCCAAAAACCTGAACCCGTCCAACCTTTGATAGTCAAAATGATCCAAATAAATAATCTGAAATATATTAAACATTAAGTGATAAAACTGAACTCATAATAGTCCTGTCCTGTCCTACTCAAACCAGAATGTCCCAAACACAACCCATCCACATCTTGTTTCTTTCCGGATTTTAAAAGTGAGATTTAGCAAAGGAATGAGTATGCAGAGTCAGTAGATGCATATAAAATCATCAAAATTTGAAGAAAATAATTATATCTGTTCTATTCTACATTTTCCCGAAATGTAACATCTTCAAACAGTCTAAACCTTTGACATTTAGTATCAAATATGGTTGTCAGAAACAAATCAACCAAAATGATTACTACTTTACTCCTCTACTGAAGCCATCAAGTCTTCATACTCGGGGTCATTTTCCTGTTTTCTTGCATTTTCTTTACCACCTCCCTGGTGTTGAGGTGCCCCAGGAACAGATGTGGGAGAGAATGGATCATAAACTTGCTGTCCGGCAGAATGGCCTGATGTAGGCCTGGTGGGCAGCGGGAAACCAGCACGGGACAATCGGGGGTTTGGAGGTACGAAACTTCCCGGCCTAGGTGGCAAAGCTGGGTAGTGCTGTTGATGTTGCAAAGAATGTCCAGGCCTGGGAGGAAAGGGACCAGCCACATTGGGTGTTTGGGTAGGTGGAACAAAGTTTCTCAATCCCATGCGTGGAACAGGAGCAGCATTGGTGACGGGACCGGTGCCTGGGAATGCTGGAGGTCTGGGTGGAGCAGACATGGCCATTGGCTGATTTTGTGGCAAACCCATCTGGTTGCCACTGTGTGGCCTAGGGAACACTTGCATTACCGGTTGTTGGGGAGTAGAATTGGGCACACCAAACTGGAAAGATGGTGCTTGTTGTTGAACCGCTGATTGAGGGGCTAAACCATGCGGATTTGCAGCTTGACTGCCGGGTCTTGGAACCATTGGATAGGTTGGGCCCTGTGTATGGTGAGGTTGGAAAGTGAAATCCCTGGAATTTGTATGTTGTGATCTTGCATGTATTGGTGCAGGTTGATTTATGGGAGCAAAATTTGGCATGTTTCCAGGAATAGAACCAGAAGCTCCTCTTGGAATAGATGGCGATAATAACATGGGTGGCGCTTGCGAGATGATTGGTCTCGATAACATTGCTGGATTTAGAGATGGATTCAGTGGTGGTGCCATGGAAATGACAGGTAAAGAGGATTGCATTGGTGGTGTTACGGACATAGGTACTGACACTGCTGTTGGACGTAAAGCAGATGATAATGCAGGAGAAGACCCTAGTGGAGGACCAGGAGGAAAAGGCAAGGAAGGATGGTTAACAGGCGCACTGGTTAATCGAGGACCAAACTGACCCGGCGAAAAAGTTGATAACATGTTCGGATGGGCAGAAGAATCCGATGCAACTGGTCGTGGAACTACAGGATGAGGCACCTGGGAAAAAACTGCAGGTGGAGCCAGTTGCGCTACATTGCTAAGACCTAGGGATGCAGATGTGCTTGACCAGCCAGAAAAGCTTCCTGCAGGCATCGATGGTCTTGTGCCAGGGAGTGGCCTGAGATCCTGGGGCTGGCTTCCTCTAAGTGATAGTGAAGATAAATTGCTAGGTTGAGCAGATGGAAGATTTGGGTTTGGGACAAGAAAATTTTGAAGTGGACCAGTATGACCCAAAGGCTGCAATGGAGGCATATATGGCTGTGGTATTACTTGTCTTGGAAGCTGTGGACTGGATGAAACAAGGGATGAGTCTTGAATAATTGAGTTGAATCCAGCTGCAGGAGCTGATTGTGGGCCAAAGAATGAAGATGGGTTTGAAGGTGAGTGCTGCGTATGTATGGAACTGTTGAGAATTGGTGCTGAAAGATTCAGCGGCACAAGCCTGGTAGGGAACCATGAATTGTGGTATTGAAACTGACCTTGTGGAGATGCTAGTGTAAGTTGCGGCACTTGCTGATTTAAAGCAGAATCAGTCGCACATGATACAGCTGTGCCAAGTGTTCGACTAAGAGCATTAGCATCATTCCCAGATATTGCAGGCACCGAACCAGTGCCTAAATTTCCCTGCAAAAGAGGTACAAGTAGTTATTTTCATAAAGCAGTAGCAATAAATATCATTTCTTTATCTCCATCATTTTCTTGGAGATTTTTTCTTGATGTTCAGAGCGATGAACTCACTGATATTGAACTAGTTAGCAACTCGATCAGTGCCACTGCTCCATCAACTTTCTCAAAGGTGTCAGCTGATAGACGAACAAACAACTCTTCATAAGCATCCTGGGGTTCACTACCATCAGGAGTAGAAATTTCAACCTGATGACAAAACACTAGCTATAAGTCAATAATGCTTAATTTAAGCAATCATCGTGCATATATTTAAGATTTTTCTTAAGTGGGAAATAGAAAAGGCCTCAGTTCAATTAACTTAGACGGCACTATATTCTCCCTGCCCAAAGAATTACCTTCTCTCCAGTATTTGCTTTAATGGCGTAAACTTGTACTGTAGCTCCGGTGTCCTGATTTGTAAGATGAACAGTAAGATCTTCAATAGGTCAGAATGACCTTCACAATAGAACAAAACAACAGAAACCAAATACTTACCTTTCTAGTCGCTTCTTAGTATCACTTCCGGGACCAAAGATTAGAGCAACAAAATTGCATCCAGGGTATTCTTTCACCTGCAAAACTAATATAGTATCATAAATTCATAATATTCAAGTGCTGTATGCACAATGGTAGATGATGGAAGAAACTCATTAATTTTAGAGAGAGAATAGCTTTGCCATGAAAGTTGGAACAAACTCTAAGGTAGTCCATAACATTCCATTATAGCAATTAGCTGGTCAAATTTGTTTCAGTTTGGAACAATTGACACAAAAACACCATGACCTCTGATGATAACATATGAGCCATGAGCATAGCAGGCTTAATCAACATATTACCTACTCTATTTTGGTACCATCACTAGGTTATTTAGGTTGAAAATGTCCGACAATGCAACTTTTCAAAAAAGAAAGAACAAATACAAGGCAAGTGCAATGCTAGTCCAAGCAAAAATGTTCACTTTGGGTGGAAAAGATAAACATAATGCATGTATTTAGATCAAAGGGGATGTATATAAAGAATCAAAATACAGAAAAAATAAATTTGAACCTTATCATGTATTACAAATGCTGATAACCAGGAAAAAAATTCAAATGAATCAAACTCAACAAAAATTAATAAACTTTGATCAGCAAGATTACCATTAGTTACTTTAATGTATAACTTCTTTTGGAATTACAATAAGAAAGTGCAGGAAAAGGGATTTAAGAAAATTGAATTTTCAGAGGTACTTTAATGGAAGTTTGCAGCAGAGAAAGAGTCCTGGTGGAAAAGGGTGGTATGTTGTGTTTATGACTGGACCCGAAGTGCATAATGATGGGGAACTCCTGGCCAGCCCGTGCATCATGGATTTGGAGAGGTGTGGTTAAAAATTTCTTCACCAAATATGGTTTTGGGGTTTGTATTAGGAAGAATATGCGGTTGAAGACTGGGAGGGGGAATTATGTACAGTTCTGGAATGATGTGGCTGGGAGAAGTACCTCTGAAAATTCAGTTTCCTAGACTTTATGTTCTTTCGAGTAACAAATCGGGTAAAGTAATGGAGTTTAGGGTGAACAATGGGGCTGGCTGGGTGTGGGACATTCAAATGAGGCGAAATTTGTCGGATTGGAGGTTGATCAGTGGTTGCAGTTGATGGCTATGTTGAACAATTTTCCTTTATCTCCATGTGAAGAAGACTGTTGGATTTGGTCAGGGAATTGAGAGGGTTGTTTTTCAGCTAAATCTTGTATCAACATTTTCTATGATCAAGATGGTAGTGAGCAGAAGAGGGTGACCTGGGAGAGGCTTATTTGGGTTGGGTTTTCTCCTCCACGGGTGGAGACATTTGTTTGGCAAGTTGCTCATCATAGAATAGCGGTTAAGGAGGAATTACTGAAAAGAGGTGTGGTTGGGATAGATGATCCTCTATGTTCTTTGTGTGGTAGGGAAGTGGAATCAGTTAAACATCTCTTTTTGCATTGTGAGGTAGTTTGGGGTCTGTGGTCTAAATTTTTGAATATTTGGGATTTGTCCTTTGTGATTCCAAATAACATCATGAATTTTTTGAATTTGTGGGATGATTTACTCCTGAACTCAGTGATCTGGAAGTTTATTCCAAGGGCGTTGATGTGTGGAAATGCAGAAACGATATCATTTTTCAGAAAGTAAAGCTGGATAGGGTGAGATTGTTTTTTATTGTTCGTTTTAGAATAGCTTCCTGGTTTGTTGCAAAGTTCAAGGAGGTGCATGTCCCTTTAGACTCACTTGTGGGGGATTTAAAACTCGCTGATTTAGTGGGAAGACAGGGAAATGGTAATCTCCAATCAATTTGCTGGGTTCCTCCTCTGGATGGGCTCTTAAAGCTAAATGTTGATGGAGCGATGACAAAGGGTTGGGATAAGGGAGGTATTGGTGGTCTGATTCGGGACAGCAAGGACATGTTGATTAAATGGTTTTCAGAAAGAGTTGGGGGTGGTCCTCCTATCTTGGCAGAATTATTGGCGATTAAGAGGGGGTTATGTCTCTTGGCAAATTTTAGTTCTGTTCTGAATCAGAGGATTATTCTTGAATCAGATTCAATCAATGCTCTGAAGTGGATAAAGAATCCGGGGTTATGCACTCCTATGTTTCATTTATTGGTGAAGGATATAGTCTCTCTTATGGCAGGGAAGGATATCATCATTAGGCATATCTTGAGGGCTGCAAATTGGGAAGCTGATAAATTAGCTAAAGATGGGATAGGGTGATGTTTTGGTTACTGTGTGTTTGTGTCGATGTGTAGGAATTTGTTCTGTTTAGCTGTGGTTTTTAAGTTTTATGTAATCCATGGGGATGTTAGCAGATTGTGAGGGTTTGCTTATGATGTACTAAAGTTTTCATCTATAAATTTCTAGGTACTCTTTTCCTCCTTATTTGTCCTTCATGTTACTTGTATAACATGGAGGGTGCAAAAGGGGGCTTTTAACGAGGCCTAAATTCTATAAAAAAAAAAAAATTAGATGCAGTAATATGTCGGTATAAAAATGGGCTTACAGGAATGGGAACTGTTGCCGCCTTCAATAAAGGTTTATAATCTGCTGGTGTTTTGTAACTTGGATTCAATTTAAGTATTTCACCTAGAAGTCCAACAACAAAACAGTAAAAAACTGAATAAATTGGAGAAAGAAAAAATTTTCTTATCTAGCAAAAGTTGTTTGAGTTACCAATAGCTTCCAGTCTTTCGATCTCCAAAAGTTCTACTTTCTACATTAACAAATTCTATGTGAGTCGGAAATATAAAATCTCCAATAAATCAATACAATAAAATGAAATTAACAAAGGATGCAATATTAACTGTCTCTCTACCTCACTTTCAAGTTGTGTATCAGAAGTGCTTTTAACCATATTCTTAGCACCTACTGGCGAATCTTCTGTATCCCCAACATCCAGATTTCCTGACTTCAGCTGCTGTGTAATCTGATCAACCCGAGTCTGCCCAAAATTTGGACCACCACAGAGGAAGTAATGTCACTTAATGGCACCTGGAATGTGAAGTTTCCATGCTAGGGAATCACATTGTGGACACTGGCATTTTATCACCCAATTGGGGACAAGGGAAATGTTCAATTGCCATCAGGTGAGCAATGTACATATTCCTCCCACAATCCAGGGCTACAAATGCCTCCAGCTCTACTCAAGATAGTGTAAACATGTTGAAAGAACTTATAAATTCAACGTGTAAATTTTCACTATGCACTTGCAAAAATGACTATGATATGCCCTTCCAAGTGATAGACCAAATACCTGATAAGCTAAAGCTCTACCCCTTCGGACAGCAGCATCCTGTGTCAGATCAGGGCTCCATTTTGTTTTTCTCTGAATCTGATCAATATTATCTTCATTGGCAGTAGAATCTCCTCCGGGTTTCTTACCTCCTCGGAAGATAGGAACCAACGAACCTGACAATTTATTTTTAGGTATAACAAAGCCTGTCTTTGCAGCAAACCTTGAGACCTTTGGGCCTGAAGTTGATGCTGTGGATGAAGTAGTTGTTGCAGACATGTTGGCAACATGAGGGCCAACAGCAGGAGTCTCGTCAACCTCTGTAGTCATCCTGTACATTCAACAATTTCCTACTGCCCCTGACATATGTATGCAGCATATAAAAATTAGTCAAAGTTGAGGCGGAATCCTCCAATACAGTCAGTTGTTAAACGGTATAAAGGAGGTAAAAGAAATGTCAACTACAGATGATAGGAAGGAAGCAGATAAAAGAATTTGTGTAGCAGTAAATTCTTCATTTTGTCTTAATGTAAAATCTTACAGTATGATTCAAGAGCAATAAGTCTCCAAGCCAAACTAAAAGCACTACTTAAGATTAAAAAGTCAGCATTTAATGTGTGTTTTCTCTTAAATGGACTGACTGTTAGACCTTGAGCCTGGTAAAAGAGAGCTAATGCAAGAGAATTTGTAACATGAAAAGGAAAAAAAAAACTTCTAAAAGAAAGGAGCCTATCTACGTTACAACATAATACAGCCATAGAAAAAGACGGCTGCGGCAGTCTTATAGTTACAAATGCTAAAAAAGAAGTTGATTGCCATCATTCAAAAGTGGTCCAAGTTTAACAGTATCCTATAGTCCTTAATACAAGCCCTCAAGAAAAGACTAACCAATCTCATTAACCAGCTGGAAGCCAAAAGAGTTGGGGGGGGGGGGGGGGTTCTCTTTCGAATGGGAAGGGGAAAGGAAAACAGAGCTAGCTTTGAGCAAGATATATGCACCTACTATTGTCACAAGTTCTTGATAAAAATACAACAGTTTAAACTCGTAATGGAACACATTACAGACAAGCAAAAGAAAGCAGTATACATAATCTTCTCCTACAAAAATCAGAAACTAAAATGTCAAAGCAACCGGGTTTCCTCATAACTCAAAACTATTTAAAGGGAGTCCAAATTGATTCAAGCCAACAGAAAACAGCGTAAACCAAAGCAAATTTACTGATAAATGCTTTAATTAAATATTAAATTTGCTGACCCAAACAAAATCAAAGAGCAGGGGGGGAAAAGCACCATGAACATAATCAATTAAAAGCAGGAAAAAAATAAACGAATAAATAGCATGGAAATGAACATGCTAAACTACATACTAATCATAATTCCGCAAAAAAAAATCAGTATTATTTTCTTTCCCCAAAAATAAAAGATCTTGTAAGAGCTTTTAGAAACAATTTATATAAACTGAGTCACATACAACTTCATGCACACATGAAACAGTGAGTTTATGATGAAAATTTTCCCAAACCTTCCCAAAGCAAGAAAGAAACCATCACTTTTTTTCTCAGATATCAACAAAACAGAGGATAAGAAATGAGAATCGCATGTACTGACATAACAGTGTAAAATTAAATAAAGAAAAAGGGTATGAAGAGCACCTAGGGTTTATCCACAGAAGAGCAGAGCTCGAACCGATGGGAAGCTGAACTGAGCGCAGCGAGATAAGCGAGGTGTCGAGCAGGAATAAAAACTGAAAAAACGTTGTGAAATTTGTTAACCCAACGATTGAGCGAAGGTAGTCGGTTATGGATTTTTCTTCTTCAATCCGACCCGATCTAGAACTTTATACTATCAATAAATTTATTTTCTTTGAATTTATCGATTATAAATCATAGTAAAATAGTATTTTTTATTTTTAAAATTAATAAATTTTAATTTAGATCATATTAATTAACTGAAATATAAATGATAACAAGTTGAGTTTATAAAATTCAAATCCAAACTCATAAATTTACTTTAAAATTTAAATTTATATATTATTTTCATTAAATTAGATTATCACCACACGGTCACTAACAATATAGAGACATGTATTATTATCTTATTAGTGAAAATTGAGAAGGATAAAAAATACACAAGATTTTAGTGACTAAAGTACCAATATCTTAAAAGTTAAGGGATTAATACTGTAGTTTACCCTAATATTAATAAGGATAAACTACATGTTTTGTACCTTAATTATCACTTTTGTTCTACATTGGTCACTCAATTATTTTTTATTAAATTATACCTAATATTACATTTTAGTCACTCACCATTTAAAAAAATAATAGAATTACCGTCGTGATATTTTTTAAAATTTTCAATGATGATATGGTATCAACTTATGGTGATAAGGCGATATGTCAGCATTACCATTAATTATTTAACGGTGGGTAATCAAAAGGAAGCCAAAATATAAAGCTAGTTATGCTATGTATCCTTTTGAAACAAAAAAAACTTAATGACCAAACCAGAACAAAAGTTATAATTGGAGTACTAAAGTGTAGTTTACCCTATTAATAAACCAATACCTACCAAATACTGGACAGTACGGTAATATTGACAACATCCATAAAAGCTCTGCGACAGTCCTTTCTTATTTACTTTCCCCTTTTCTTCTTCATTCGAGAAAGAACAATAATGGAGTCTAAACTTCTGGCTTCCACACTCTCATCTAGCTCCTGATGCTGCTGGGTTTCGCGAGCTCCGATATCAACCAAGACAAAGCCGAGTGTTCGAATAAGGTTGCGGGGCTGGCTCCGTGCCGGCCGTACGTGGAAGGCGAGGCGAAAACGCCGACCATGGACTGATGCAGCGGACTCAAACAGGTGGTGGACAAGAGCAAGAAATGCCAGTGTGTGTTGATCATAGAAGGAGACGATCCCAGCCTCGGGATCAAGATCAGCGCCACGCTAGCCGCCGCTCTTCCCTCCACTTGTCGCGCCACGGTTAACATGACGGATTGCATCTACAGGTGTGTAAATTCGGGTATCCGAGTTTTTTGGTATGAAGTGCCGGGTACCCGGATATTCGGGTAATTGATTTATCGATCTGTGTCTCGACCCGGGTATCCGGATTTTACGAGTAAATGTATTTCCGATACCAGGATACTCGATTTTTTTTCTTTAAATTATTAATTAAAAAACATACACAAATTTAAATATTCGAAACTTCGAATTATATATTTCAACATCCAAACATAATTAAAAAACATCTAAACATAATTGAAAAAAATGTCAGATATAATTTTGAAAAAAAAAATAATCGAGTGATCAAAACATAAATTAGATAACATATAAGTGACTAAATAAGTAGTTTATCCTAAATAATAATCGAATGATTAAACATAAATTAAATAATATATGTGACCAAATAAGTAGTTTACTCTAAAAAAATCCCTAATCTGATATTCGAAAAAATTCAATTTTATGACCTAAGTTTTACCCGGTCGGATAATTTTTTTTAAAGAAAATTATTTGATTTTTTATGTTCGAATTGACAAGTCAATTGAGTAGGATATTTTTGTACATCCTAATTTCATGGTAAAGTGAACAAAAGCAGCTTATCTTTTATTGTTTTATGAAATGTCTAATTATGGTTTTAGTCCCCCTATCATGTTGAAATTTAAAACATCATTTATACTATTATTTGTGTATGTTCTTAGTAGGTAGAGAGTGGTAGGTGTTATCCCGCCCAAAATATTTTATATGACAACATTTTTAGGTTTATACATATAAATTTAATTTAAATTAAAATTTATTACTTCTAATTTTCAAAATTAAATATTTAACGAAACTCGTTAATAATATATAATAAAATATCAATAACAAAGGTCTACATCATCACTTCAACGTCAACCACTACTCGTCTACTCCCTCCGTTATCCATTTAAGAGGAGGCTTGCTCCCAAGAGTTCTGAAATTTTCTATCAAGGTATTAAGAAATTTTGAAAATTTTAATTTGAACTTCCAAATTTAATGTCATGGCAAATTATCGATTTAGGGTTAACTTAGCATTGATTTAAAAAATAAGTAGAAAATTACTTTTAAATATTTAATTTAAAATTTAAGTATTTAACATTGCTATAAAAATATGTTTTTTGAGATGAAAACAGTATCAATTTAATCCTGGATAAACATGAATCAACGACCATAGTTGTTAAAGTCTTAAAGAATTGTTATTATTCTTCGATGTCTCAGGTTCCAATATCATGTGGTGGAGTGTATAAACTATCAATGTTAGATGGTTAAATATTTTTGAATAAATATTATATTGTATTCACTCCATATTAATAAAAAAATATTAAGATAAATCGTTTTTATCTAAATATTAATAAATTGTTTTGAATTGTGATATTGGTGGGTGTGAATTCAGCCCTACTGCACTTGGCACCCAATTCCCATGAAACAAAGTTATTTGAAGGTTATGAGAAGCATCCCAAAGTTGCCACTGCCACCCCCATCAACCACCGGTAACATTTATCCTCTCGTTGCCCTCTTTATTTTTTCCTATCCCTTTATTAACCTAATTAATAGAAAATGATATATTTCATATAATATATATGTGTAAATTACTTTTTTTATTCAACTTTAATTATGTTTTTTATTCATTTAATTTTAAAAAAATTAATTTGATCATTAAAATTTTAAATTATTCTTATTTTATTCCGAGGTTAAATTTTAATATGTTAGTCGTGTTGTCCACCTCTTTTTTGTGTTTTATTTTATTTTTTCTTTTATCTTTTTTTCCTATAAAGATTAAATTTTAAACGTTTTATACTTTTGTCACTTAAGTGTTGGAATCGTCGTTCTTCAAAGCTTTTTATGAATATTCAAAATATTGATAAATTCGTTTCATCATCTTTATCGCTATAGAACTGTAGACACTACATTTTGTCCGGATGTTATTTCGATCATATTCCTTAAGTTATTAGTATAATTTAAGTTTAGTAATTGTTTAATAATTATTTATTAATAGTATTTAGCATGATTACTTATTAATAGCATTCTAGGTCTTTATTTGACTCGTAGGTTAGTTAGATAGTTAGCTAGCTCATAAGCTCTGTGTTTTAATTATTGTATATGCTAATATGGATATCTAGTTAACCGTATTAAGATTATACAATCAAGCCTACAAGCCCAAAATACAAAGCAACCCACTTAGCAATGAACCCACCGGTTCGGGCCCAACAAGAATGAAGCTCGCTGGCGAGCCCAAAACCCGGTTAGGGTTCTTCACCCAAGTCTAGCCGCCCACTGCAGTTGTCCAAAGCTCCACGCCTGCCACCACCGCCATGCCCTGCTGCAGCAGCAAGGCAACACCATCTCGAGCTCACCTACCATCATCTCCAACAAGACACGCCACCACCAACTGCACCAACCAAATCAGCAAGCAAATTAGTTTTTTTTTTTAATTTTTGACAGTTGTAATGGGTATATAACCCGAAAAATTAAACAATGTAAAGAAAAAAGGAGAGGGGAAACCAGCAATAAAAAAAAGAAAGTTTCAATTGTAAAGGTATCTAGCATATTCCTCTCTCGGTTTTTTCTTGGCATGCATGTATTTTCGATCTAGATTTCAAAGCAAAAAAAAAAAATTAACAGATAGGAGAGAATGAGTTTGCTTACCCTGTTGTCATCGGGGTTGGTGTCGTCAGAGAGGAAGTTTGAGGATCGTTTTGGCCTGGTTTGGTTCGTGGCACCACCGCTCGTGGTAGTCGGCCATGGGTTTTGGATCTCTCGGTCGAGGAGAATGAGTAGAAGAGGACCTTGTTTCATTGGGGGTCCGTCGGTGGGGTTTTCATCGCCTTGTTTGGCGCTGGCTGGAAAGGAACGACCACCAATATACGGTGGCCGAGGCGTCGCTTGCTTTGGGCTTTTTGAGGGTCGGCCGCCTCATGTGTGAGGGAAGGGAGAGATGAGCTGAGAGAATATGTTTTTAGGGTTTTATTTTCAAATGAAACAGAAAAAAAAAAGATATTGGGCCTCTTCTTCACATTTAGGTTATTATGTTGTGGGTTACTTACCCACATGTCCCCGGACTTTAGGCATCCTTTTGTGTTCTGTCACTAAATTAGGGTATACTTTTTCTTCAGTCCTCATATTTTAGCATGTTTTTCGTTTTAGTCACATGTTCAGGAAAAATCGCATTTACGCCCCCCAATCTTTGTCGTGTTCTTGCGTTTCGGTCATTCGGGTTCTTTGTTTTGATATTTTCTTTGGTTTAGGTGTCTTGTTTATAATTTATTTTAATTTAGTCACTATTTTGATTTGCCATTTATTTGAATTTAGTCACTGATCTTTATATTATTTCATCTTAGTCACTAATGAGGTTTTATTCTCTTTTGATTTGCATTGTTTCTGCTTCATTCCATTTTGGTCATTGTTGTCATTTTTTTAATGTTCATTTTAGTCATCAAAAAAGTTTATGTTTGTTTTATTTTGAGCTCTATATTTATTTGTCTTTCATTTTAGCCACTGATTGTTCATTAATGTGTTTTGTGTAAATTCCTTGTCCTGGCTATTAATTTATGATTTAGTTTATTCTAGTCACTCATTTCTATTTTCAAAAGATTAATATGTATTGTATGTTTTAGGCTTCAAGTTTAGAATTATGTTCATTTTGGTCATTGTCCACGGTCTAATATTCAAATGGTTGTTTGGTTTAGACATTCTTATTTTTTGACATGTTCACATTTAGGTCCTCTAATGTGTTATTTTTTTAGCTATTTATTTACCTGGTCCATCTAATTTACGGAATTTATTTTTGGGTTTCAATATTGTAATGTTAGTATTTTTAATCCTTCATAACTAGTGAGCATATGTCTGAATGGATGTTTATTATATCAAATATTTATTAAGGATTTTATGCTTCATTTATTCTCTTATACACGTGTACACTATATGTTTATATTATAATATTTTAACTCTTATATTTATGTATATGTATTTAGAAATGTATACCTATGTGCATATATATTTTGTATGTATATTTTAATTATTACAAAATACTTTTGTTTGTTTATTAATATTTTGACAAGAATGTAAAACATTTTTTTATTCGTATTTATTTTCGAGAACATTATTCGTAGAATAGGCGTTAAAAGCACTACTTTACAAAAGTAGTGCAATTCAATACGGTATTCGAACGAAATATGAACTCAAAATAAATCAAGCTTATTTTTAAACGGTAATATTAATTAACTTGTTCCTTTATTTCTTATTTAAATGTTGGTAACGTGTGTGTCTAAATAATAAGTTATTTTATGTAATTACTAGTACTAAACTTTATTCGATTATTGATAAAGTGAGGTGGGAATATTCTTTTATAAACTAGAAATAGATGGGATAGCCTCCCATTGGAGAATGTACGAATCTTTTCAAATTAAAAGAATTTTCCCTGATAATTAATTTGAAGCAAATTAATTAAAAAACTTCAACAAATGGATCATGTTCTAATTTTCTATTCGAATTCATAATTTTATTTATACGACAATATATAAGCGACCAAGTACCAATTTTGGACATTGTGGTGGTAAGTTTCTTCCTCATGTGTAACCGACTCCTTAATCTTTTAAATTGAGTCTTTGATAAATGTAGATTGATTTAAGTCTTTTAAATTTTTTAAATATTTTTAAATGTATTTTTAGTTATTCGACCTACCTAATATAAAAGTCGATGACCACTCCACAGCAATTTGATTCTTAATCAAATTAAATACAAAATCCAAAATTTCATAAATAAGTCGTAAATGAATATTTTCTTTACAACATGAAAATGCTTTTAAATAAAAGGACGTTATGACTATAGCTTTTCATTTTCTCAAAATCTCCTTTAAAATTTGTGAGATTCAATTCAAAACCCAGAGTAAAATCATTCTGATCTATAACCTCTACTGTCCGACCAGTATAGAATCGAGATTACAACTTGTCTCCTTCATCTCCACCTCTACTGTCCGACCAGTATAGAATCGAGATTACAACTTGTCTCCTTCATCTCCACCTCTCCACCTCTCCACCATTGATTTAAAATAAAATACTTCAAATGTTAAATATATATATATATCGAAAAGTTAAGTTTTAAGAAGATTTCAGGAGATTTAAAAAAATTAAGAAAGTTTTGGGCCTTGTCATAATCTTTGAAAACAAATAATCTCACAAATTGATGTGGAGTGACCAAAAAATAAATAATTTAAATTTTAAATGATAAATTGATAACATTTTAAAGTTAAATGACCAGAATATAATTCAATAAATATAATGCAATTAAAATTTTATTAAATTGTATTTTTTTCTCTTTGACACGTGTAGGAAACTCCACTAGCAATGGTGCACAGCACGGTGATGGAGGAAAGGGACAGAAGTGGGCGGCCATCGAGATAGCGTTGGGAGCTTCTTTTTGGATTTTTATTATACATCGAAACTTTGTTATGTGATAATGGAATTTATCATTATTATAAAAATGTAGTGCTCCATGTATTATTTTATTTTGGATTAATTATGTCTTTACTTCTTATATTACGTGTTAATTGCGGACTTAATCTATATTTTTATTTAATCAATTTTAATTGTAGGCTTTTTGATTTGAAATTTTAGTTTCGACTCCGATATTATAATGATATGATTAAATATAATAAAAATAATAATAATTAAATTTATAATTTATACATATTATAGTGATTAATGATGGATTTAATAATTAATATCATTTGAATCAAAATCTAAGAATTTAAAATTCATAAATATTAAGATTGATCGACTTAAAATAAAGATTAATAATGAATTTTGATATTATATTTTATGATAAATTTTAATTGTACAACTATTATAAGAGATGAAAGAGACTGATAAAGATAAATTAGATGATTAGAGTATTAAATCGAAATAAATTAAATTAAAAAAATGAAATTTGAAATAAAAATTATATTGTTTAAATATTTATATATGTATAAGATTCACCTATAAATTATGTTAATTATACTCGTGAATAACAATAAATGATGATTAAATATTAGCATTTCGTTGCGATATGAGTAAAAGAAATATCTTATATTTTGTAAATATTTCTTTAATGAACAATCATAATTGAATGGTCAAGATCAATATATTAATCACTATCCTACGTACCAATATATAAAACATACTTATGTAAAACATTACAGTTAAAAATATACAGATGGTCATTGGTCATTGATTATATGATGTTGTTTTGTTAAGTTCTTTGATTATTAAAAGTTACAAAATAGTCACACAACTATTCATATGTTCTAAAATCATCATTTTTTATTAAAAAATTGATGTTCGTCTGAGCTGAACGTTAACATGTTGACTGAGATATGATAAAATCATATTTTAATGATGTCTACTGACATCGTTGTTGATTTTAAGCACCGACTCGCTAGCATAATGTTTCAAGCATTAATTCAACAACATAATATAAACGAAGATTCGATCTATAAAATATAGCTAAAACGATTATGAGATAAGATGTTACCATATCTCAATCATGATGTTAATATCCATCTCAAACAATCACCGATTTTTTAACGAAAGAGGACGAGTATGAAGTATTTGAATAGTTTAGTGACAATTTTATAATTTTTAATAGTCAAATGACTCAACAAAGCAATGTCCTATAATTGAGAGACCATTTTATAATTTTTAATAGTTAAGGAACTTAACAAATCAATTATCTATAATTAGGGGAATATTTGTGTAATTTAACCAAAATATTATAATAATAATTATTTTTAAAATATTTTTATTATATTTTTAAAGAAACACAAGAAAAATTAAAATAAAGGAGTAAATGCTCAATTAAACAAAAAGAGAGAAAAGAACAAAGCACTCTCTCTCTTTCACTAAAACATTGGGCTCTTCACCAAAGCTTCATTTCTTCTCCTTTACCCTTTTTTTATTCTCTCCAGAAATATATTGAATTTTTTTTACCATTTTGGGGGAATATTTGGAATCTAGGGTTCTAATAGAAGAAAATATGGGGTCTTCGGTGGATTCTAATTCGCATGGGAACCTGGACGAGCAGATTGCGCAGCTGATGCAGTGCAAGCCATTATCCGAACAAGAGGTTTTTTTTTTCTTGTTTACATTCGAAATTAGTTCAAGTGGATCTATTCGGAATTCAATGTTTAACGGCTAAATCTGGGCCTTTTTTGGCTACTGATCCATTTTCTCTCTCGAGTATTTCTGGATATTGGCTCAGATCTATTTTATTTTCTGGATCTTGGATCTTGTTGGATTAAATTTTTATTTGCTTTTCTTTAACTGATCCATTATGTTTGTCTATGTTCTTGCTTGGTGTTAATTTCCCTAGACGAAAGTACGCTTTTGCGGAATTGGAGGTTTAGTATTAGTTGTAGTAAATTGATTAGTTTTTCTTGCTTGCTTTCATCTCCTTGTATAGAAAATATAGTGTTACCGGAATTGGAGGATTAGCAGTAGTAGCCGTTGACAATTAGCTAAAGAAGTTGGTTTTGAGACGTGGACTTCGTGGCCATTGACAAATGGAAATTCGTGGTTATCAGCTCTCTTTTGATGTATTTTGTTACCCTTGGCTACCTACCTCCAAAAGTAGTCATATAGACATAAATGGGTGGGTTTCGTGCTTAAAAGGACAAGGTGCAATAATCTAATTGTTATAAATTTATTTCTTCCTTTTAACTTGCATGCCTGTCGTGCATATGCATACACCTTGAAAGGCAACGAACATATGGTCGTGGGCTTCATTTTAATTTTTCAGTCGAGAAGAGAAGAAAACTTATGTCTTTTTCGAGTAGAATGGTATAATGTGTTTATACTGCCTGTTGTGGTGGTAGTGTGGGGAACTTTATTGGTACCCTTTCTTTTAAATGATAATAAATTTTATTTTGCAGTTATTTTTACCTGATATTATTTTGGATGTCTATATGAATTAGGTTAGGGGGTTATGCGATAAGGCTAAGGAGATACTGATGGATGAAAGCAATGTTCAGGTGCGCCTTATCATCTGCTACCTCTCTCGGCATTCGCTTTTATTCTGTTTCTATTAGTTTTATCTCAAGATAATGTTTCTTTAATGGTGGTGTGCGCCTTTTGCCTTGTTATTGTCAGCATTGCATTTCTGAGCTTATGAACTTAAATCAATTTTGTTTCCATATTTCAGTTTCCTAATACATTGTCCTAAATATATGCTTAAAATTTAGTTGGTTTTTTATTGTCTGTTTCCTTATTCTGCTATTTTTTTTGTTTCTATGGATGGTAATATATCTTTTTCATTTACTGAAACCAGAAATATATGGAGTCTCTTATTTTAATCTCCGCTTTCTTTATATGATGACTTATAAGGCGCAAAAGGAATAGTTTGTTTGCACTATGGTTGGACTGATTATGACTTGAATGTTTTGTGTTTGGTGCAAGACAGCCTGTTAAAAGTCCTGTTACAATATGTGGTGATATTCATGGGCAGTTTCATGATCTTGCAGAGCTTTTTCGAATTGGAGGGAAGGTAATTTTTCTTGTTCAAGTTGCGATGTTGCGTTTCAAACGTGATGCTAACTGTGGTGAACTATTTGCAATGCATGTTGTATTTTGTTCTGTCTGGCCTTCAACAAGCATTCGTAGATCACAATCACAAGAATCATGTGCATCCAATTATAATTCTGTGCAATAGATTTTCCATACTTTGTGGGATGGGGTTAAATGGACTAGCACTATGTTTCAGTGTTTTTTTTAACATTTAGTTCCTGCTGCAAAATTTCTGATCAGTGTCCAGATACAAACTACTTGTTCATGGGAGATTATGTTGACCGTGGTTACTATTCAGTTGAAACTGTAACGGTAAGTATCAGTTTTCTATCTTACATTTCCAGCTTTTTAGATGTTTAACATTGACAGTTTAGTTTTTCTTTTTCCTGTTTATGTTCTTTTTACTAGTAATAATTCTGCATATGAATCCTTACCACATCAACCTTTTCCTTTGTTTGTTTCACATCAACATTAATTAACTTAAGTCCATGTCACTCATGTTTTACTTGTGATTTGCTTTTGTTCAGCTTTTGGTAGCGCTCAAAGTGCGTTATGCCCAACGGATAACCATCTTGAGGGGAAACCATGAAAGCCGTCAGGTATTTTTTGTTTCTAAATGATTGTTCATGATGTATGTTTCAGCTCTGAATTGTTTGTGAGAGCTTATTAAGCAGGAATAATTTATTATTGTTCTTTTTATAATCTTTTGAGGGAAAAAAAAAGAATCCTCATCATCATTATCCATTCTTCTTTGAAACTTATTTATCCAGTTGGTATATATATAATTTAATTTCTGATAATTGTTTTTTTATGTTTGAAATGCAGATTACTCAAGTATATGGGTTTTATGATGAGTGCCTAAGGAAGTGAGTATCTTAGAATGTTTGTGTAGGCTTGTTGCTAATGTTAATAGACCATAATTTTGAAAGTTCAGCTTGAGGTTGGACTTTCTTTATTTCGAATGCAAACTATTGCTTGTGATCTTTCCTCCCTATTCTATAATACAAGGCATTCTGAATGTCATATTTTGTTGTTCGTTTGTAGTTTTTATGCATGAGCCTATTGTGGCAAACAAATTCTTTTATAATAAATTGTGTCAAACCGATAAAACAAAGAGAACATATTTAGAATAGGGATAAGTTGAGGTGAGAAATTATTTAAATTAATAGTAGTTTGATTTAGATGCATGACATTCATTTTCAATAGCTCCCAGAATTTCCTTTTTAGCACAAGAAACTTTCATGTAAGCTTTGACAGGGTGGCATGCCAATTTTCTTAATGAGACAGTTGGAAAATGAATTAGCTTAAACGTTGAATTTGAAAGTAGGTTATGCCAATGTTATTGCCGGAGCAATGGGATACCATCTGCAAATAGGCTTGTTTTGCATGCGGTTGCCCAGTTTTACAGGGTGTCTGCAGTTTTTGGTGCAAGCGAACAGAATTTACTTAATACGTAATTGTTCTGAAACTAAAAGTCGATTACTTTTTACAAAAATTAAATAGTTAAAAAGATAGGAATTACATTCTCTGTTACATTATGATATGCACACACAAGCACACATGCAGGTTCTATGATTTTTTTTTTCTTTTCAAAATTTTCAATTTATGGATTAGTAAGTCTCTCTTTAATTAATTTTTTGGTCTTTCTTTGAACATTTTTTTTTCCTTTTCCATCTTTAGGTACGGCAGCGCCAATGTTTGGAAGATCTTTACTGACCTGTTTGATTATTTTCCACTCACTGCATTGGTTAGTATTTATTGTTTGTTATTTAGTGTTATTTCAACTGACCTGTAATGTTGTGGTTACTAAAGCTTAGGTTATTAGGATGTGCTTTAGTAATTAGACACTCTGTACCATGCACTAATGATATTGGTTGTTCGGTAGGAAGTTTCCCATCAGAGTATCTAGGTTTACCCTTGGGCTATAAGAGAAATTCGGCTGCCATGTGGGAGCCAATAGTGGAGAGATTTCATGCTAAGTTGAGCGGTTGGATGTCTAATTCCCTGTCGCTTGCAGGAAGGGTGGTGTTGGTTAAGTCAGTGTTGTGCTCGCTCCCTGTGTATTTTCTTTCCATTTTCAAAATTCCAGTTTATGTGCTAAAGAAACTAAATTCTATCATGGCTTCATTTTTGTGGGGGGGGGGTGCAGCGGATAAAAAAAATATCCATTGGTTAAATTGGAGTTCGGTTAGTAAACCAAAAAGATTGGGGGGTCTAGGGGTCCCGAATTTATTACTCTTGAACAGAGCTTTATTGGGGAAGTGGGTTTGGAAGTTTGCTTCAGAGAAAGAGTCTTGGTGGAAGAGGGTGGTATGTGGTGTTTATGACATGGATCCGAAATGCATAATGATGGGGAATTTGTGGCCAGGCCGTGCATCATGGATTTGGAGAGGTGTGGTTAAAAATTTCTTTTCCGATGATGGTTTTGGGGATTGTATTAGGAGGAATATGCGTTTGAAGACAAGGAAGGGGAATTATGTGCAGTTCTAGAACGATGTATGGTTGGGTGAAGTACCTTTGAAAATACAGTTTCTAGACTCTATGTTCTTTCGAGCAACAAATCGGGTAAGGTGATGGAGTTCAGGGTGAATAATGGCGTTGGTTGGGTGTGGGACATTCAAATAAGGCGAAATTTGGCGGATTGGGAGGTTGAACAGCTGTTGCAATTGATTTCTATGTTGAACAATATCTCAATATCGTCATGTGAGGAAGACTGTTGGATTTGGTCAGGGAATGGTGAGGGCTGTTTTTCAGCTAAATCTTGTATCAACATTTTCCTTGATCAAGATGGTATTCAGCAGAAGATGGAGACCTGGGAGAGACATATTTGGGCAGGGATTGCTCCTCCACGGGTGGAGACATTTGTCTGGCAAGTTGCTCACCAGAGAGTGGCGGTGAAGGAGGAATTACTGAAGCGAGGTGTGGTAGGGATTGATGATCCTTTATGCTCTTTGTGTGGTAGGAAAATGGAATCAGTTACGCATCTATTTTTGCATTGCGAGGTAGTATGGGGTCTGTGGGCCAGATTATTGAATATTTGGAATTTGTCCTTTGTGATTCCAAAGAATATCATGGACTTTTTCAATTTGTGGGATGATTTACTTCCGAATTCTTTGATATGGAAATTTATTCCAAGGGTGTTGATGTGGTCAGTGTGGAAATGCAGAAACGAGGTTATTTTTCAAAAAATTAAGCTGGATGTGGTGAGATTGTTCTTTATTGTCCGTTTTAGAATAGCTTCCTGGTTTGTTGCAAAGTTCAAGGATGTGAATATACCTTTAGACTCTCTTGTGGGAGATTTAAAACTTGCGGATTTGGTGGGTAGACAAGGAAATGGCAACTCTAAACCAATTTGCTGGGTTCCTCCTCCGGATGGGTTCTTAAAGCTAAATGTTGATGGAGCGATGGTAAAGGGTTGGGATAAGGGAGGTATTGGTGGTTTGATTCGGGATAGTAAAGGTGTGTTGCTTCAATGGTTTTCAGAAAGAGTTGGGGGTGGTCCTCCTATCTTGGCAGAATTATTGGCGATTAAGAGGGGGTTATGTCTTCTGGAAGATTTAAGTTTTGTTCCTAATCGGAGGTTTATTCTTGAATCTGATTCAAGCAATGCCCTAAAGTGGATCAAGAATCCGAGTTTATGCACTCCTATGTTTCAAGTATTGGTGAAGGAGATAGTCTCTCTTATGGCAGGGAAGGATATCATTATCAAGCATATTTTGAGGGCTGCAAATTGGGAAGCTGACAAATTAGCTAAGGATGGGATAGGGTGATGTAATGGTTTCTGTCTGCTTGTATTGAGTAGAAAATTTTATTTCCTAAGTTTAGCTGTTGTGTTTAAGTTTTATGTAATTTCTGGTGGTGTTTGCAGATGTTTAGGGTCTGCCTTTGTTGTTCTATTGTTTCATCTAATAAATTCTAGGCACTCTTTTCCTCATTTCCTTGTCCTTCATGTTACTTTTATAACATGGAGGTTGAAAAAGGGGGTTTTTAATGAGGCCTAATCTTCTATAAAAAAAAGGGTGTGTTCTGCTTCATTTTTGATGGAGACCTCTTTGCACACATCCACAGCTGTGGGTATAGAGGTTCAAACCTATATGGAAAAACTTGGGGAAAATTGATGTTGGAGATGTACATTGTATCCAATACACACCTCTGAATCAAGATGTAGATCATCTAGACCCCTTATTTACCATTGATGCATCTTTTTAGTTAACATAAAGCGGGTACTAAGGTGAACTATTGTTACTGCCACCATTATTATGATTCTGTTTTCATCATATGTCCAACACCCCTAACATTCGCTCTTTACTATTTTCTGCATCTGTCACTAATAATGTTGCCAGAAATGTTAGCAGCAATATTCATAACTGAAAGCTTTATTTTCATAGATTATGTTTGATCTAAGACGAGCTAACTTCGATTTAGTTTGTTAGTTTGACCCCAGAAATCTGTCACGGCAATTCTATTTTATCTTTATGGTTTCTATTAATGGTTCTTAGCTGCTGGCTTTCTGCTGTTTTGAAGGTTGAATCCGAAATTTTCTGTCTCCATGGTGGGTTGTCTCCATCCATTGAAACACTGGATAACATACGTAACTTCGACCGTGTTCAAGAAATCCCTCATGAGGGTCCCATGTGTGATCTTTTGTGGTCTGACCCTGATGACCGTTGCGGTTGGGGTATTTCTCCGAGGGGTGCTGGATATACCTTTGGCCAGGTATAATGTTTTTTAGTCCCCTCTATTTCTTGGAAATGGTCAAAGGAAATTTTTATTTTCCATTTTAACTTTGATGACATCTTCAGGACATATCCGAGCAATTTAATCATACAAACAATTTGAAGCTGATTGCTAGGGCTCATCAGCTGGTCATGGAAGGATACAATTGGGGCCATGTAAGTACTTCACCTGCTTTAATGCTTCTTCCCGAAATCCAATATCATATACGAGATTTGTGTAACTGATATCATTTCTTCCACAGGAACAAAAGGTTGTTACTATATTTAGTGCACCTAATTATTGCTATCGATGTGGAAACATGGCTTCCATTTTGGAAGTCGATGACTACCAGGGTCATACATTCATTCAGGTAAGCTGTTCTCTCATAAACGCGCCACCCTGCTTGCACAGATTGAGCTATTACATTGTGCATGTGTATAAACACTTAGTATGTACATGTTTGTATAAACATTAATAGCTGTTCTGTTCAAATAGTTTGAACCAGCGCCGAGGAGAGGAGAGCCAGATGTAACCCGGAGGACACCTGACTACTTCCTATAAAATAAACTGGCATTGAATCGACGAGTCTCCTGCAGCTGGTCCTTGTCAACGGGTTTGAACGAGGTTTTTTTCAAAATTTAAGTTTAAGATTTGTAATTCACAATGGTAGGTGTCAGCAAAGCCATTGTATAAGGCTGATCACTGATGAGAATCCATGGTAAGAGTTGCTTCATTGGATTATGCTTGAGCTTCCACGGCCGAAGAGCTGGCAACACCGTTAACAGGCATATGTACCATTTCAAGCAGACAATGTTGACACTTTGTTTATTTGTTTTCATTGATTTTAATTTTTGTTTTCGAGAGTCTAGAGATCTGTAGAAGGATGCTGAGAACATTTTCCATATATTAATGCTTTTCTTTCGTTTTTGATGATCGAACATACTCGTGTTATATACAAACATTCTCCATTTCAAGCAATACCTCATTTTCTTTCATCAACACTCAGAGGCAGGGGCTTGAATGCAGCCAAAAATACAGCAACTTTGCATACAAGAAAGCCCATCATTCCAACCAGAAGTTCTTTCGGAGTCAACTCAAATGGAACATCACTCATGCTATACTTGATTGCTAATGAAGAAAGTGCTATAGCCAATGCAAGGCTTGATACCGGACCCCTGAATTGGACCATTTCATCTCCGGGATTTTTGATATTAATTCCGAAGCTGGTAATTCATCAACGGACCTTTGTAATGACCAGAGATAAAGAAAACCAACGATCCCACCAAGTAAGAATGCAAAAGCAGAACTTTCCCCAATTGAGAAGGATGCAAATGATGTACCGACAACTATAAGAACAGCATCATAAAGTAACAAAGAGAACTTCAAATCTGCATATTCCTTCATGCTTTTTTCATTAGTTATCCTGTCACTCAAGGATGAAGTTGGCTGAGAAAAGCCCTCGTTCACGAGGATATTCTGCCCTGATAACTCAGTAATGAAAGGTCTTAGTTCCACCATGGAATCATCACCACCCTCTCCGAGCAAGATATCATCAACTTCGAAGTCATACTTAACACCACCATGTTCTAAACTTTCCCCATCATCTTCCCCAGAGTGGATTGAGATGTATTAAGGATGATTAGGCTGACACCACCTAATCTCCATTGACCTGAAAAATGAGAAAGGAAGACGAGCATTTATCTTTCCAGGTGCACTTAGTTTAACCTAAAAATTACTGAACAACTTACTCGCACAAATCAAGATCTTAAAACTAACAATCCTTATTCAAGGCTAACCTGATTCAACACCGATCCAAAGAGCTTTAACCTTCCCCAATTCCGCCCCCTCAAAGACAAATTCGTCAATGGAACCTCTCTCGAAATGGAGAGTTTCAGGGTCCAGTGTGTTCTTCAATTCCGTAGGATGTTCACTGAACAAAGATGCAGGTATTCTCTGCAATATCGAGTTTCCTTTCTCATCTATCAAGCACAAGAGTATCCCAGCATTTATATTGCTCAAACTTGAGCCATACATGTTACTTGTCTGCAACCAAACCTTGTAAAATGCCCGAGCTCCATTCAAGCCGGTTGATGAAATGATCTTTTCTTTCGACGCACCGGTACATACTTTTGGTTCAGTAGATGGCAAAAGACGTGACGGTTTCACGAAGCCCTGAAAATCTGGAGTGGAAATGCTACATCAAACTCTCTAATAAACCTCAATTTTTCTTCTTATTATGATATCCTAGGTGCCAAAATACATTTGACTCAACAGCAGGTTAACAAAACCTTGATGTATATGTATATATATGAGGATAGATTTATCTAAGCTAGCCTAAACATAAGGTTAAAATAGTTTACATATTTACATAACGCTTTATTCAATATTTATTTGATTAATTCGACCATCTTTTTATCGTTACATTCGTGTAAGTCATGCATGTTAATTCTTTATTCAATGTAAAAAAATTAGTATTTTTTGTTCTAATGACAGTTTTAGTCCTGTTAGTTTAAATATTTGTCAAATTAAACCTTATCCCTTCCAAATTTAAGATCAAATAGTTATGAAGTCCGAAGTCCCTGTTAACTTTGAATTTAGGTGATTTGACTAATTTTATTGTCTAATTCTAGCTCCATCCTGCACAGTGTTAAATTATATATATATATATAAAGAACAACAGATTAAAAAGGAAAGTACCTTGAAAATCAGATCTCTTGTAAGAAGTGATGAACCGAAAGCGAAAACAAGCAGTCCGCGAGTGAAACGATCTTCTCGAGTGAATTATCGGTGTCATTCTAAAGGGATTCCTTTGATTCGTTGCAAAGATTGTGCGACTTACGGGAATCGACTCCATCGCCATTACCACCAGCGTCTGTGTCCAGCTTTCATCCCGAACCAGAACTTTGTTATCTTTACGCATCGTCGTACCTACGATGGGCCTATTGCCGTTTCATGATCTGGGATTGGGCATGGTTTAAAGTAGACCTGAATCAAATACCCAACACTATATTTGCTTGAAAGCCGGATTAGGATCAGGGATGATCATTTTATTCGGGATCCAATAAATTTCAATCCAACTCCATTTCATTTAATTAATTTTTATTTTAAAATCACTTGATGTAAAAATAAGTATTTAAAATTATATTTAAAGTATATTTATTTTTTTAAATATGTACTTAACGTTTTTAACGTTATACTTTTAAGTACCTAGACTACAACAACCAATAAATTCGACCGTTAAGTGACATGTGTTATGTTTATAAAATTTTATTTTTTTATTTAAATTAAAAAACTTAAAATTATAAAAAAACCCAAAATCTCTTTAAATCTTAATACTAATCCTTTAGCACCGACCGCCACAATCAACACCGTCAATTGACCGAACATCCAACGACCTTGTAAATATAAGATTTTGTGGTCGGCGGATAAGAGTTCTCCCCACCGCGATCGTCAATTTTTCGCTATAATAAAAAATGAAAGTGTTGAAAACATTTTGATATTTCGATATAACAAATTAAGTTAAATGAATTTTAAGATTTTCCAAATGATTTTCTAAGTATATTCAATAGAATTATTCGAATATCAAAACATTACTCCAAATCTTTCAAAGATCATTTTTAATCCTTACTTAAAGTGTAAAATTAAGTTTTAATCTTAAAACAATTTCAAAATAATTTTACAAAGTATTTCGAACCATTTCAAAGCCAAAAATTTCAGATTGCTCAGAGGGAACCGATTCCCCCCTAAGGGGGTACCGATTCCCCCCTGAATGGTTTGGCTCCGAGAATTCCAGTATGCTCGGAGGGAACCGATTCCCCCCAGGGGGGTACCGATTCCCCCCTTGTATAACGGTCGAAATATTTGAATTTTACACTTAGGGAATCGATTCCCCATAGGGGGTACCGATTCCCCCCACGCTCCAAGCTGTTTTATTAATTGTTTTCACACTAAAACGGCTATATGATCTTCACTAATCATCCCCAACGTTAAGAAGTGATTCAAGGTGTATTTAAACAAGTTCTGAAGCCCTTGATCAACAAGAAATTATAGAGAAACAAGAGAGAAAGCATCAAACACCAAGTTTGTGCAAATCAAGCCAATTTTCCTTTCAATATTCATTTTGCTTTCAAAGAACACCATTTGTGCTCATTTGCAATTATTTGTGAGTGTTCTTTTCTTGTTCTAGAATTGTGCAAACATCTTACATTGAGAGGTTTTCCTTGTAAGTTTGCAAATTTGTAATCTTCTCTTTGGGAAAGAGTGTTCTCAAGAATTGGGGTATATTCTTGAGGGTGTTGTAAGGTTATCTCTTTGGCCTCAAAAGAAAGAACAAATTAGTGAATTTGTTGGAAAATCCTTAGTGTGGATACCTAAGGTAGTGGACGTAGACTTTGATTGAGAAAGTCGAACCACTCTAAATCGCTGTGCAATTACTTTCAATTTTCTGCAAAAGCTTCTACCAAATTTTTTAATTACCAATTCACCCCCTCTTGGCCAATTCCGTCAATCGATTAACTCAACAATTGGCATCAGAGCCTAGCTCATTTGAAGGTTTAATCGCCTCTTGAGTCGATCCGGGAAGAGTTAAATCGATAAATATGGCATCCACTTCCGGTTCATTCTCCATGGAAGAATCCAGACCAATTGACGTGCCTCCACACTTCAATGGAACAAATTATCGTCATTGGAAGAGGTGTATGATGATATTCATCAAAGCATTTGATATGGAAGCTTGGATGATAATCAAGAAAGGATATTCCTCTCCTACTAAGAAGGTAAAGAAGTGGAGTATTCAAGAACGGAATGAAGCTCAACAAAACTCAAAGGCTATGCACATGTTGTGTTGTGCAATTGATCCTAATGTATATAAAGGAGTTTCTTCTTGTTCAAGTGCCAAGAAAATGTGGGATAAGCTTGAGGAGATCTATAGAGACAAGGAAGAAGAAGAACCAATAAAAGTGATGTCTCTATTAGCTCTCACAGAGCCAAAGGTATATTCTAACTCAAATATATCAAATTCAAAATCTTTTAATGAGTTACAAGATGCTTATATAAATTATTTTTGGAGTTTGAGACCATGAACTCCAAATACAATAAATTGATTTCTAAATTTATTGCTAAAAATGATCTTCTTTTGAAAGCTAAAACAGACTTGGAAAATCAAAATGAAATGTTGAGAAAGGAGTTAGAGCTTTCAAAAATAAAATTTGAAAACTTTGAAAAAGAAATTTTCAAATTAAACAAACTTCTTCTAGAAATGAAAATGGATTTTGAAAATCAAAATGAAATCTTGAAGAAGGATTTAGAACTCTCAAAAAAGAAATTTGAAAGCATTGGAAAAAAAAATTTCAATTTAAAAGATAAACTTGAATGTTTAACAAAAGAAAAAGAGATCATTCTAAATAATTCATCTAGTTCAATAATGACAATATGTTCACATTGTCATTATCATGGTCATAAGGAACATACTTGTCCTTTAAAGAAATGAAAACGATTTAAAATTAGACAAGTATGGATTCCAAAAGGAACAAGAGGCATTGAAACTAATGTTCAAGGATCCAAAGCAATTTGGATACCAAAATCTACTTAAATGTCTCTTCTAGGTGTGTGGGAGCAATGATGATGAAGTTGATGATATTCAAGATGCTCTAGCCACACATGAAAAAGTAATGGGTAACCTCTAAACTTAATTTTTTTTATTTGGTTGCTCATTTATTCTATGCATGCATGAGGTTTTAAATGTTAAATAATTCTAAATGATTATGTTTTGTCTCATGTATGTTGAAAAATATTGTATGATGAACATGGTAATTTTTTTATAAACTCTAGTTCATCATATTAATTTTTGGTCAAAATTATTTTTTAAAATGTAATTGATATCTCTTTAATAATTGATATTGATTTTTCAATAACTTTGGTTTT